AACGAGTAGTTGTGCAGCTAATAATAGTAAACAGAAAATATTCAGTGATTATAGTGAGAAGGTAAAACGTACTTATAATATAAATTTAAAATAAATCTTTTTAGCTTATAAGTAAATAAACGAAAGATAATATAAAATAACAGTTGCCCAACCGTTCTCTTCTGCATTCTCCAAGCATACTCGTTTAGAAAGCGTCAAATCCTTGAGTTTTCGCGAACGATTCATATTTGATTATAATATCACCATTTGTATAATTATGAAATAAAATGTACATTATTGATATCATATAACTCGACTCGGTAAAAAATTCAGAATTCAGTAATCTAACAAAATTTAAGTCAAAGTATACATATATTTATTCACAATAAATCTAAAGGCGAAAATAAAAGTGCTGAAAAAAAGAAAAAGATAAAAAGATATTTACCGCTTAAAACTTACTGATTATCAGGGAATGTGGGATTTCCCCTCTATAGCAAGACAATTTAAATAAACTTTTTTCGCAAACTTTAAAGAATTAAAAACTAATCGTTATTTTGTCAAACTAAAAAAATTTACAACCGGAACTTCGGACGCAAATAACAAATGAAATACTAAAAATGTAGCGTTTACTGTAGTTTTGGTAAGTTTAACTATAATGTGTCCAACAGATCATAGACGGTTTGAGGGTTCTGCTATTTAGTAGGATTTTCAAGCACTGTTAAGAAACTTTTTTTTACTTTCGCTCGTCGTTCTGCCTGGGGTTTTCTTTACCTTAACATATAAACGATCAACTCTTTACAACGTCAGTAAAATTAAGTTTTTTTACTCTAGATAATTTAGATCTATGAAAATATATGTTTTTTGTTATATGATCATTTTGTTAAGAAAATTTATATTAGTAAAGTTTCACTTTATAAAATAGATATTTACCAGTTAAGAATCTCTCTAGTCAATTGATTCAGACTATGAAACGTGCTTTATCTTAAAACTATTCTCTTTATAGCCAAGCTTATTATCCTGGTATTTTTGAATCGCTCTATTGAGAGCACAACAGTTAGTGATGGTAAGTAAGTTTTTACATTAACAACGAAAATGTGTGAATCATATACCCAAGGTAGTCTCAAACTTTTTTAAATTATATATTCCGTGTCCCATATAGCTCTTTACATACGTTAAATTTTATTTTTTTTCGAGAAAATCTAAATACTATTGTTAACACTTTGTGGTAAGGTTTAACGTTTTTTTTAAACTTTTTAGGCTTCTTGAAAGTACTTTAAGTTGCTCTGCTGCTTTGGCAAATTTCACCGGTAGAAACCAACGTTATACCATAGATTTTACTGTATATAACTGGGATCTTTATAACTGTGGTTTAAGAAATATATTAACTGCATTTAATTTCTCTTTGAATTTTCTTTAAATTTATTAAAACTCTTGGGCTGCAAGCTCCTGTCATGTACTTCATGTTTTTAATACAAATACGAAGGTACCTTGTTGGCTTATTTATTTATTTATTAGACTACTTAGAAAAACTCACTTTTAACCTTATTTTCACTTTAAGAAAAGAATTTTCTTGCTATAAAAAGTTAACCTAAAAGTACGTAATTTTTTTTGATCATACACTTTGAAGTTCATACTCTTAGGGATCTGAAGGGCGCGAGGGATTAAAACAGCCCAATTTTCTTAATTTAGATTAACCGTTAATAAACTTTTCGCTCTACCAAGCTTTACTTATACTTTTTTATATTGCTCTCTCTGTGCCCCATATTTATAGACGCTTCTAAACTTAGAAATTTTTTTTATTTTTGATTTTATTGGTATATCCAATTGGTTTCCATATGTTTAATTTCTCTATTGTACTTATGTATAATATATCTTCAAGGACAGCTTTTAAAATTGTTTCACTATCTTATTGATAATATACAATTCTATTATATTAAAACTATACAAATCTTTTAATTTCAATATTAACCTCTCATCCTTGCTTAGCGTTTAAAAGGATATAAGGTATTTAAGTGTTGTACGCATCTAAGCGTCGTGCTTACTCAACAAAACTAAATGGAAACCCAATTACTACTAAGCTCCTCTAAAGGATTACTCGCTAACAACTGTATAGCAAGGTTTGTCCGAAAATATTTTTAAAGCTACCGGAAGTCTTGCAACTTTTCGAATTACTTTAGCCACAGTCTTTTATTAGCCCATAAAATATTGAAAATAGCTTTATGAGCTTGGTACTCGGTTAATTGTGATTAAACCCTCTTCAGCATTAAAGTAATATAACTCGGCATTGTAGATAACAATCTTAACGTTTGCATATCTTAAATCTAATTAAGTAGTGAAGTTTTAAAAAAATGGAGAATTTACAAATAGATTATATAATATTACTCAAAAAATAATATAATTTTTAACAACAGTTGCAATTTCATTAAAAAAATTTGTTATAACATCGAGCTGAGTGTAAAAACCGCATGGACCTTAATTCTTGTCGCACCACCCATGACGCTGTACTCGAATAAAAAAATGGTTAAGCTTATACATATATAGCTTTTATAAAATTTAGACTACTCTTAGTAAAAAGGTGCATAAATGGCAACAAATAAGACTTTGACTTAAGTGTTAGGCACTTGCATATATTAATTTGGCATTTAATCAAATATAAAAATACTGATAGCCAAACTTCCGCAGGAGCATACCTAATTTTCCTGCTCTTTTTCCTGCTCTTTGAATCCTAGGTGGAGCGTGTTGTGATAGAAGGGGGCATTTTTAATGACTGTGTACCATATGTAATCTGATAAATACAATTTTTTTTCTACCTTGGTACGTCCATATATATTAAAGCTTATCGAAGCTACTATCTATAATAGCGCCATTCCAAGTATACGCACAAGCCGCCCTCTTAATACCACCACGCGTTCCTCCCAAAAAACTAAGAGTGGGAAAAATTAGATATTATTCTCCTCCGAGGGCTTGCTATTTATATATATATTGATTAACATGTTAGTAACAAGATTTTTTCAATATCCAATCAGCGATGATTTATGAATTTATGTAGATACTTTAAATTGTTTTACGATATATTCAACTTAAAAGAAGTAACAAAAACGATCAAGTTATCTCTCTATCTCCCTTTATTTTATTTATTTATTATTTTTTTTTAAATTATATTTTTACTTATTCTATTTTTATTAATATTTTTTAATAATTTCCTCTAAATTCCGGTACGTGATAAGCACGAACTCTGTAGTTTCATAATTACACAGCAATGATGCTAAATTCAAAATTTTAAAATGCTACACTCTGCTGGCATTCTCAACTCTCACAGAAACTTTCTCAACTGCTACAATGGATTATTGACATTAAAATTACCGAATTGCTACGAATTACACGATATTTTTATACAATGAAAATATTGTAGAGCTCGAGCATCCTTCCATGGGAAATTGAAAAAAATAGCTTTTAGGATACAATTAATAATTAGCATTTTACACGAGGATGTTTAAAGCAGACTTGAAGAGATAAATGTATTGCACCTAGAAAAAGTAATTGAATACATAAAAAAGGTTTTCGGACTGGAATCTTTAACTACTTTTATGTGCATGAATTGTGCACAATCTTTAAAAGAGAAAACAAAAATCCATACAGTAACATGCTTACAGACTTAAATTCCTTGGTCAATAAATACAAGAGCAGTGTACTATTCCCGATCTAACAATCTACATGTCTAAAATAATATCTATTCATAAAGCTATTGCCTTTAATATAAAGGTGGAAACGAATTTAATACGAAATCATATTCTAATAGCAACATTTAATTAAAGACCATGAACCCGTAAATTACAATACGTCCTTAATTTCTTTCTACAAGCAGAAATAAGAAAACAAATTCAAGCGAACCTCCATAAAACCACATTGTTGACGTCAAATTTAAAAATTCGCAAAACTTTAGATAAAAAAATTCCAGAAAAATAATTATATACTCATATTTGCAAAAGTTGTGGAAAAATTATGAAAAAGAAAACACTGCCCTTTTTTTAATAATAAATGCACCTTTTGTAAAAACTTGGTCATTTCGAAAGGCTATGTTTTATAAAAGAAAGAGATTACCACAGTTATCGACTCCGCAGCCTATCCACATTTCATTAAGAATAAGGTATTACTTAATTTTTACAACCCCAGCTTTAAAAATAAATTTAATAGAATACAACAAAAAAAGAAGAACATAAAAGAGATGAGGGCTGATTTATTTGGATTGATAATTTTTGTATTCATATTTTCCTACTGTTCTGGAACAGTCTAGTTGCACTGGGGGTTTAGAATGTTTCGGGACACTTTATGATCAATTGTCCAGGACGTTATAACAGCGTATTAATTAATTATCTCAATAAATTCTTGATTAGACTCCCATGTTTCTGTATTGATAATGGCTTCGTAAATGTATCCCAGCTAAGATTGTTGCTGAAGTAATGGGCTCAATCGCACAATTTTTTCTTTGTAGTTCATCTTAAACATAGCAATAAGCAATATGATATGTCTTGTACGCTTCTTTAAGGCATCGCTTTTCAGTATACCTTTTACGTCTTCATTGCCGGCATAAATTTTTATTTTGATATTAAAGTTAGGAAGAAACTCATTAATCATATTTTGTATTTGCAGTGGTATTTGATAAGCTTTACTTAAAGCAATATATTCAGCTTCACAGGATGATTTTGCAAATTTTAGTTTTGTCAAGCTAGGAAGACCATAGGATAGGGCTGCGATTAATAACTATAATATAGTCCATTGTGGTTTTGAAGTCGTAACTGTAAGTCCACGAGGTATCACGGACCACTCTATTAGTGTATTATGTTGATAATCTCAGGTTGTGAGATTAATGAAAGCTCTTTGGTGTAGTATTGGCAATGCAAGGTTCTGGTTGCATATTTCATGTGTTCTTCACTACTGCAGTGCAAAAACCTTCACAACATAGAAATCGTATATATGATATACGGCCGTGTGCTGTCAGCGATGTTTCGTAACCAACTAGGTTGAAGAGTAACAAAATAACTGTAGAACTCTACATATATGTTCACCTAAGTTATAAATATTATAAAAATATTATACCTACCTTTTACCTGTGATAACCTTGAAATTTGCACAAAATATAAATGAAAAAAGAGAAAGTAAATAAAATAAGCTAAGCACATCACCTTCGTAAACTTGGTAAACTACTCTAATTCTTAATACTTACCATGGGATATAACTTCTTTAGAGGGTTTTGAAATATGTTTTAGGTATTGATGCAAAATCAGATACGTCGTTGCCTTATTCTCTAAGAGCAAACAAGATATAATATATGAACTGTTAAACTGGCTAAGATACCACAAAAAAAGTTTATTAAAAACAGGAAACTTAGTAATACAACTTCCACTTTTATCATAATCGATGAAGTTAGAACTGATAAAAGTAGTGAATACGTTAATGACATACTAAAAAGTGAATTAAAACTTGAAGGTTTCGTATTTACCACCTTTTTAAGAATACACCTCAGTATATGCTAAGTGAACGTAATATACAGACCTTATGCAATATAATCATGTTCCTTCTAATTCAATCATGTCTACCTTCCAAATATTGAAGTGAAACTTTCAGGGATGCTATTTTTATATATAAAAGCATTTTGAAAGGCAGTACTACTCTTACACCTGTCGAGTTATATGGTCTCAATCTACTAACTTAAAAAATATATACCCTCAGGTTTCAAATTTTATTTTTATAATACTTGAGCATAGAATTAATTTCAAGATAGAGTAAACGGAGGGGTTCCTACTTTCTAAATCACCAGATTTAACAAATGAGTAGTATTCTTAACCCTAACCTAACCCCTAACCCAAAACTTCTGTACCAATAAAATAATTCGGTCGAGGGATGTTACTGTAATGAACAAATATCTCTACATTAATCAAAAATTTTAATCCATACCTAAGTTCATTAAACCCTTAATTCATTACCAACAGATATCAGTGATGTTAATAACTTTGAGACTAAGCCAATAATATAAAAGAGGGTAATTCAACATTAGTACCCAATAACAAATATGAAAAGACTATGATGAATAACGAAATCCCTCGTGCAGAAGCAGAACACATTAGACCTAAAACTAAGCAAGCTCTCTCCGTAAACCCAACTTCTAAGATGTACAACATATTTTCAACTGCAAAATGCACAAGTTCTAAATCAATGAAAACAATACATAAACACTTCAGACTCTTTTCTCTTCGCAAACCTTTTATACAGCCACAATTCCAATGAACACCTCTTTAATTACAATCAGTCTGATTTAGCCAAAAATACCTAAATTTATACTAATAAGTCAAATTAAAAAAAAAACAAGTTTATTTTGAAGAGAAGTCAAACTCTGAAGCTGTAAATATCGTAAGTCCTCTAGTCACTTCTAAATATGCTTCACATTTTTTTACCTAA